CACCCATGGGACCCCCCCAGACACCTGGGTCCCCCCCCAGGCACCCATGGGACCCCCCCCCAGGGTTACCTGAAGGCAAAAATCAAGCAGAGGTCGAAGGTGAGGGGTCACGGCGGCGGGGTCGGCCTCCACGAACTCGTCCAGCACCTCCAGGGCCTCGGTCCCCCGTTCCTGGGGGGGGGGGAACCCCAAATTTTAGGGGGGGTCCCCAAAACCACCGAGAGCCCCCCCAAATCTGCCCTTAAAGCAGCCTTGGGCACCCCAGAAACGGCGTTAGGATACCCCCAAAACCAGCATGGTGCCTCAAAATACCCCAAAACGGCCCGGGGGGGGGAGACCCAAAACACCCCAAATTGTCCCCAAGCCCCCCCAAAACGAGTCCTGGGAACCTTCGAGGAGCCTTGAAACCGCCCAAAAGGACCCCGGAATCTTTTAGGGGTGCCCTGAGCTGGCCCAAGACCCCCCAAAATGGCTCCAGATCCTCCCCAAATGGCCAAGAGCCCCCCGAAATGGCCGAGAGCCCCCCCAAAACATCCTGATGTCCCGTCGTCCCCCCCCCAATTCACCTCGTCAGCGTCGAGCAGCGTTTTTAGGGCCGTGAGGATGTCGGGGAGCAGCGACCGCAGCAGCTCCTGGAAAAAGGAAAAAAGGCAAAAAAAACCAATTTGGGGGGCCCCGAAACCATCGGGGGGGCCCCGAAACGGCCACAGGGCACCCCAAAACCCTCCCGGGCCCGAAACGGATCTTCCTGGGTCTCAAAATGGCTGGTTTTGGCCCTAAAAATGGCCACTTCGAGGCGAGGGTTCAGGAACCGCTGCGGGGAGCCACGCGACCGACGTTTTGGGGTGTGAAACCGCTATTTCGGGGAGCGCCAAAACCTGACGTTTTTAGACACTGTTTCGGCCACAAAAGCATCGTTTTAGATAAGCGCAAAAACCGTCGTTTTGGGGGAGCCTGGAAACCACCGTTTTGGTGCCCCCAAACCCTCTGTTCCGGGATTCCTTGAAACTGCTGCTTTGGGTGGACCCATTTTGGGGCTGGAAAGCGCCATTTTGGGAAGCCCTAAACCCACCATTTTGGGGTGAACGAAACCGCCGCCCTGGGGCTCCTTGAAACTCTCTTTTTGGGGCTGGAAATGATTCTTTTGGGGCTGGGAAGGATCCTTTCGGGGAAACTCAAAACCACTTTTTACTGGAGGAACTAGAAACCGCCGTCCGGGGGGGACACACACGCCCCGAAACCGCCCCCACTCACCGTGTGGGTGTCCCCCAACATGGCCGCCAGCCCCCCCAGTGCCCGCAGGCCGTACGCCATGGGGCCGGGAGGCACCCCGGGAGCGAGGGCCCCCCGACACAGGGCGGCCAAGGGGGGGCCGTGGGGGGCCAGGGCTTGGGGGGCCGCCTCCAGCGCCGCGCTCAGCACCAGCAGGGC